GGAAACAGTGATTAGATTAGGTCGAGCTCTGCCTCGGTTTAGCAACCAGGCGCGTGTCCCTGCCCCTCTCTCTTGTTTTTCTGTGGAAGCGCTGTGCAGTATGTTATGTTACTATAGCATACCTGCAGGCTGTCTACAGCCTTTTAAATACCTTTTCATCAGAGCCAACGTTGCAGCTACCAGCCTTAAAACCAGTTTAATCACAGATCCTGCTGTGAATTATGCTGAATTTTTTTGCTCACTCAGAGGGTTGTTAAAGTTGTTTTTATTATGCCGTTCGTGCTGTTGGGTAGCTCTCTTTTACCCAGCTAGCCAACGTGCATTTCTGCATGGGCAGAGTACAGTTATTTAAAGATGTTTGCAACAGCGTAACATTGCTGAATCGCCGCTTTTTGACTGAACACACGCAGATGCAGATGGGGACAGTAGCAGGTTTGCAGTTGAGCTGTGGGCTGGTTTGTGCGTAGCTGCATATGTTTGTTTATGTAGCGTATGCTCAAATGCTTCTCAGTGTGTTTAGCTAAAGATAGGAGGGCGCCTCACAATAATGGCTGGTTGCCTGCACAGGTGTGCAGCGACATTTACCCACCAGCTACTCCTGCAGGCTGTGTCCTCGCTCCTGACACGCCGTGCTGACTCGGCTGGATCAGCTCGCCTCATGCTCCACGCCTCACCTTTTTTTTTTCATCCGCTTATTTCTATTCCGGCCCAGCTTGAAGCAAATTCAGCTCAATGTAAAAATAAAAAAAGAAATCAAGCCATAACCTGAGATAACCTAAAGTTCCAACATTCCTGGAAAATCAGTGCAGTTCGGTATAAACATCTAAATCTGAATGATATGTCCTTGTAAAATTAATTTTCTTGCTGTAACAACTGATTGTACTCAGCTGGAAGCCGGGCTGCGCGCAGCAGGGACTCGGGGTGAAACAAAGGCTGGCAGCTATTGATGGGGGTTTGATGTTGTTGGAGGAAAGGGATGGCAGCGGGCTGTCTCGCGGCGGACAGTTGGATTGAGAAACTGGGGTCAGAGAGACAGAGGCTTTTGCTGGCACCTGGGTGAACACAGAGGAAGTGTGATGAGGACCGAAGAGGCCAGGGCGGGGGCAAAGGGACGGGGACTCAGGCTGACTGGCAAGGCCAGGCCTTCAATTCCAAGGCCCAGTCCCCTGTGCTCCGGGCTTTAGCCAAGCAGCTAGGCAGGTGTCCAGCTGATCTCACACCCCCACCAGGGAAGAAGTGCAGAGCACCGGTCACTGGAGCTGCACAAATTGAAGTGTCATCTCTAGAGTCAAGATGCTCACCAATTTTCTGCATGCGTTGGTGCAGAGTTGGGATTCAGCCAGTGGACAAATGGCTCCAGTTCCGCCTACAGTTTGGCTGAGTAAAGGAGACTGTGGTGTATGTGTGTGTGTGTGTGGGGGGGGGGGGGGGACTCTTACCTTATGCATAGAACAGGTCATGGTGCTTTGAAAATGTTCTGTCTTTTGACTATTCAGCATACAGTTGGTTTTGTAAAAAAGTTTTTACTTAAACATCTTTGAGGTTAATACATTTAAATGTAGAAGAGGCAAATGGACAACATGACTTCTTTTCATTCATTTTGAAAATGTAAATGCAAATAACTTTTTACATCTAACACTTTCTGTTTGAAAAAACACCAATTGAATATAGGATATCTAACATCTGAAAATAATACAATTAGTAAGCAGAATCAGAATCAGAATGAGAAATACTTTAATAATCCCAGAGGGAAATGTTATTTTTAGGTATTTAAAGGTATATTATTTTCAGTCAAATCCAGATATCATTGTTTTAATGATCTTGTTTAGTAATCCCCTCTTAAATTGCCCCCATCCTATCATCTCCTGACCTCTGACCTCACAAAAGCAAACGCTGATCACCCAGAGGCTGTAACAGAGGTGCAGAAAAGCTGCATTGATCCAACTGAAAGACTGAAACCTCCCCACACAGAAACAAGAGAGGTAAGGGAGAAAAAAGTCAAGCCAAAGTTAAATGAAAAATTGCTTACATACACGTCTCGCACGGTCTGGAACATTTATTATTCTGAGTCACACCGAGAGAACCGAGGAGGAAGAGGATAGAAGAAGAGAGGAATCCATTTGGTAAAGTAGATGGAGATCGATGAGACTGGAGGCAGGCGGGCCAGAGTGCATCAGATAAAGGGGGGGTGTGCGTGTCTTGAGGATCTGTGATGCGTCTGTGTGACTACTTGCGTGCATGAGGCGTCCCAGATTACTTTCCCTGATTGATCCGGCGCTGCATCCGTCTGACCTACAGGACATTTCAGAGCTTGGGAGAGGCTGGTGGAGGTGGAGAGAGGGCGAGAGGGAGACAGTCAGGAAGAAAGGGAGAAGACAGAGAAAAATAAAAATCAATAGTGCAGAGAGCATTACAGGGAACTTGACTGGCCAAGAGGCTGAGATAGTAAAGTTGTATTAATCTCTGTGTGTCTCAGCTGGTTTGATGGGAACTCCAATTCAGTTTCACTTTGTCAGACTGAAGGATTTGAACTTCTTTGTGGTGGCAAAAGGCGGGGCTGCATTGATTATCAGTATCTCAGCAGGCGATGATAAATGTTTATCACCATGAGAAATTCGCTACGATTTTCTGACCTTATCACCATTTTTAGCGACTCAGACCATGCTTTAAGAATAAAACCAGCAGAAGGAAACCACAAAATAACTAATAAGGTGGTGAGGCAAAATCTGACAAGTCAGATGGTTGCATGCTGGCTCCATTTTGTAGCTGCCAGGCAGTGTGTCTATCAGTGGAGTGATCCTGCAGCACACTGTCTACTCCGCAGTCTCCACAGCCTCCACGTATCCCAGCCAAGTCAGGGTAAATTGATTGTCTAAGCTCTATAAGAGAAGGGGGATGGCAGCTTGCAGCAGACCAGCAATAATAAAGTGGTAGTTGTATTGGCTAAAAGCAGGAGAGAATTGACGTAAACGAAAACGCCGGAAAGAAAGGCAGCATCTCCTTTATCATGTAAATTTTCCGCAGAATTCTGTTGCACGAGCCTGGAAGAAGGAAGAACACTGGATATCAGGTTTAATGCAGACGCAGTCGTTATGTGTCTTATCTGTTGTACGTTGCAACTGGAAAGCAGATTTAACTCTCTTCCTCGCTGTAGGGCGTTTAAGGCTTGTCCTGTTTTGACTGCACTACCCAAATACCACTGGCCAGGAGCCCAAGGAGACAGGAAGCACTTTTGTGGCATCAAATATTAATGGTGTTATAGAGTGTATTGATTATATAATAACTTTTCCCAGCATCCGAGAGCTGACTGAAATGTATTCCCTGAATAATTGAAAATGTATCCATGAGCGGTTTTTCATCTCTATGGTTGGTGAATGTAATTGCACTGCACCCTTATTCCAGTGTTATTTGAGATTTTATCAGAAGACGCACATGTGTGTTTTCATGTGATAAACGCAAGGACTGCGAGGATATGAAAAAAGATTAAACTGTGTGTGTGCGCGCGTGTGTGTGTGCGTGTGTGTGTGTGTGTGGTGCCTGATTCTGTGTTTGTTCTATCGAATGGTTGAGCACTGAACACTGAGCAATAAACAGCGTTGAAAATAAGATGCAAAGACTAAAAGTCACTTCAAACAAATGTAAGATTCATTTGGCTGCTATTTTGCTCATGTGCGCCACATTAGCTGTTGACAATCAAACCCATATACATCTGCTTGCTGCTGCTTACATTTCTATCACCACATTTGTACATGCCACAGAAATGCTGCACTGTCTGCTGGCTGCGGCACGCCATCTTCCACCCTGACAGAGAATGCAAAGTGACGGCTTTGCAGAGTGGCTGAAAAATGATTTTTGATGTTTCACCTCTGCCTAACATTTTTCTTTTTTCAGGTTAGCTTCACAAGTTTATATTTAATGGATAGGACATATCTTTTTTTAAATATTTGATCTATTTCAATTTGTTTTCTCCTTATCTAATTTGCTTTGTCATCAATAAAAGAGAGACATTAAAGTTAAAGAAATCATAGCTCTTCTTAGGTATTTAATTCTCACCATACATTTAATTCTACTAAAACAAAAGGTGGCTCAACTGATTTTTTTATATGACCTTCCAAGAGATATCTCAATATTTACCATTACTTGTCAACAGAGAAAAACTGTGTGCCTTGTATTTCTTTCTATTGTGACCTCCCCGCTTCTCAGTGTCTTCTTTTTCTCTTTCAAGCTGACAGTTCACTCTCATTTAGACCTCCATTATGCATTCCTGCCTTAGTTTACAAGACACATTGACAACAGAACATGTACAGACTCCGTCTCTCCTCTCCCACCTCTGCTTCTCCTTTCCTTTGAACAATTGAAAGTGTCTTCCCCATTATTCAGCCCTTGCCTTTTATTCCACCTCCCAACTGATCTCTCACTCCTGCTCCTCATCTCTCTGAAGGAGTAAATGAAGGCAGAGGTCATACCTCCTCTCTTCCTCCCCTCCTGCTAAATTGGCTGTAGTAGTATCTGTAGATAGCTGCAGGCTTTCCAGCCCCCTGCCCTGGAGAGCCAGTGAACCGACTTCCTGCTCATTTGTGGCATTTCTGTCTCTTCAACCAGAGGCTTGTTTACCCACAGAGAACATGAGGGAAACCCTCATTATAAACCACGCCAAAGTCATGGCAGTCTCCATACCAATCTGCCAACTTAAACACTTATCTTCTTTTTAAGATTAACGAGATCTTTATATGCCCTTTTATAACTTTTAGAGATCGAATACACATAGTTTCTCATACAAAATAGCACAGAAAAAAACCTCTCCAGCCATCTGCCTTTGTTTTAGTTTGACTAGTGGTGACTGCAAAGGTGTAACTGTGTTTTCTAGTGAGCTGCCATTTTCCCCAACATTCTCATCCCCTCCACTCCCCAAATCCCACCACAACCCTAACCTTGCAAAGTGAGTGTCTGATGTTGACGGCGGGCCGTGCGTCCCTCCCTCCCTGTGCTCCGCTCCGTAGGGGTCGACAGAGACACAGTGGCGTCAGGCAGAGCTCCCACAGCTCCCGGGCTGGGCAGAGAAGGGATTGCTGACACAGCCAAAGATGGTAAGGAGACGTCTGCTGCCAAATGGATGGCCAAGCCATATTACACACCCATGAAGTAATATGATTTGATACTGTACTGTGTTTAGACAAAAGCGGTTGGGGATGCTGCTGACTGAGACAGTTGGAAATGGAGCAGACACCAATGGATGGGGCCCCAGACAGGGGGCGGGGGGGGGCTGTCCACAAATGAGTCAAAAGCATCTTCAGTTGCAGACTCGTTTATCATCATACAAAACTGCACTCATATGTCTGGGATTTGTTTTAATTTTTCAGAGTTCATTTAGCATCAGTCTGCTTGGACTTCATTTTCAAAAACTTTTCCAAGTTGCTCTGAACAGCCATCCTTATAATTCTCTTTATCTTCGATATTGAGCACAAAAGTACCCTATAGATGTCCATAAGGTATACTGTCCATTTACTTAAAATTTCAACTAAAATTTCAACTAAACTACAACCCCAGCCTTACTGTTTTAAACCCGTCATATGGTTCTGTAGATGCTCGTTTCGTGTAGGCCTTTGCAAGTATCAGCTTAGATCATCCACTTATATTAAAACACTCTCTCAAGTTTATGCTTTAGGTTTGCAGGAACTGCAAAGTTTTAGACGTGTTCTACTTTTACCCATGAGCCCGTGCTGGCTCCACAAAGTTAAATCCAAACTCCCAGTACCCGGTGCCATGAAGGGGTTCTGAGTTGGACCTAGTCAGCAGGAGGTGTGGGGAGTTCTGTCCTCAGCACCAGGCTACACAGTGGGAGAGAAGGGACAGCCTGAGTGTTCACAAACCCTCCTGAAGTGGACCGCCGAGCGGCACGAGTGCTGGTGGGCTGGGACGAGGAGAAGAATATAATTGGCAGCTGAGCCTCGGCAGGTCCCTGTTAATTAGAGCAGCCATTTTGGTGGAAAAACTCCTCAGAATACATCCCATGGAGTTGAAAGTCTCTCTGACAGAATGGAGCTCAGCAGGGAATGTAAACAGATTTAATAAGGCCCTCTCCAATCAACTCTGTTATGGCTACAGTAGATGCTATTCTCTCCTCCCTCTTTGCTCTCCCCTCGTCTTTCTCAGTCTGTGTCGGTATCTCTGTTGTGGTGGAGTGGTGAGTGAGTAGGGAAGGATACTGTCAAAAGAACAATTTGCATGCAGCTCTCATCTTGAGAGCTTTTAGACATCTCCCTGTCTGTTTGTTTTTCTGCTGTGGGCTTGAGCCATTGTTCTCTCTCTGTGTGCGTGAGCCTTTGAGTGTGCGCTCGTCTGCTCACTGCAGATGCCACAGACTGTCAATGAACGCCTGTGTGTGACTGCATGCATGTGTTTAAAATGAGAAGATGGAAACAGATTCAAGACAGACAGATAATTTTTCAGAACAACTCTTAAATGGAGGGGAATTAGATTATTTAGACTTGTAGTCGAACTACGTTAAAATCATGGAAAAGATGGATGTTTTAACTCCAGATGCACTAGTTTAATGTTGCTCGTATCATTATTAATTGGGAGAAGATCATTACAGTTTGACAAGCCTCAAGCTGTTTCCTTTAACTGTTTGTGAACTTGTGAAAATGCATTGTTGGCTTTTTTTTTAGGTTGACTAATAAATAAATAAAACATTTAATGCTTTACCGCTTTAGCTACTGGAATAAAAACACACATTAATACTCATAACATAATATATTAGGTGTACATTTATCGAATGTCTATATGAGGCATTTCAATGCTTGTTTGGTAACAACAAAGTTGTCTACTGTTTCATTTATCATCACATGCAGGTAGATAAAAGTGAAGTGATTAAAGCCATGAAATACACACATTGTAAAAGTCTAAATTTGTTAAACTATTTCTGGACTAACTGTGAAATTTTTAAATTCAGCTTTGAGCTGTATTTTTAGAACATAGTCCCGTCTTTTGAAAATCCAGAAATAGAGCGAAATCGGACTTGTGCGTCGTTTCTACTTTGCTCTTACCAGCCCTGCTTCCAAGTGCAGCGTGTCTGCGTGTGCTTAAGCATAGTTAAAAATAGCCCAGGAGCTGAATGGTTGAATAGGAGAAAAGGAGAGATCAGTGACAAAATGAAGGCTTTACAAATTTGATTTAGTCAGACGAAATAAGTTTGTGTATTGCTTAGGGTGGCATCATGTGAGGTCACTTAAATGATTTATATCAACATATAAATTTCCCCAATAACCCAGGAACTGTTCCTGTTAACCGACTTTTTTTCTGGATTCATTTTCATGACATTTCATGCATCAATGTCACCCCCTGCAAAATAAAACAGTTCAATCCACACAGGGACCAAAGAATGTAATATTCTGACAAACACAGTCTCCGTTCTTTTTCTGGTTCATCACCCCCCCATCCAATGGTGATGGAGATTAGTTGTTTCGACTCTTTCCCCTGGCAAAACAGCGATCCATCAAAAGCAAACAACACACACACTCACACACTTACACAAAACGAGCAGTTCAATTAATCTCATGAATGTTTAATATGCAAATATCTGGATATCTCCCTGTTACTCGATAGAATCCATTTCACTCAAAATCAGTATTTAGCCTTTGATGAATATCAGTACTCTGCCGTACAAGCAAAATGCAATCGACTTCTCCTGACTCGCCCTCCTTTTCACTATTTCCTACACCTAGCTTAGAGTTGCTCTTTGAACACTATATTCCCGTGGCACTCTCTCAAATCTCAGATAAAGAAGGCAAACTTTCCACTGTCCCAGCAGCAGCAGCCAGAAAACCAGAGAGCTGCCCCCTCCCACAAACCTCAGCAGCCATCAGGATAATATTTACAGGGGCTTTACTGTCACCCTGGATACTCTTCATCCTCTCTGTCTTTGTTGTATTTCTAAATGTTTAGAAATGTTGAATGTATTGTGCATGCTGCGTTCCTTTTATGTTTATTTTAATTGAACGGTTCAGTTGGATTATGCCTTCTCACAACCTTAAGCTCTCCTATTAAAAGTAATCTCTAACGTCTACTCTAAATACTTCTGAAATATTCAAAGGATTCCTATTTATCAAAGGCTTTTATTATTTTGATAACGTACTTAACCATATATGTTGTAATGCCAGCATTTAATGGCAGTTCTGTGGTTTCATTTCATGGCATGACAATGAAAAGAATGTTTTGTTGTGAAATCATGTTAAATGCTTACAATGACAATTGTTTTTTCATTTTCATGGAAGACAAAAAATGCGTTCCTCTACAATTCATGACCTAATCATATTGACTTGTAGAATTGAGATCTAAATGAATTTAATCTATCATTATTAAAAGAAAATTAACACTAACAGATTCACCAAAATGTGGGACATATCAGTTCTAGATTACTTTCCAATGATTTTGCGATTATAGTTGTAAAATTGGACACCATTCTTACTCAAACATCTGGTTTTCAGGACCTGGGAGCAGAGATGTATAAAGTACTGGAGTAGAGGAGTGGAGTAGAAGTACAAGTACTGTATAAAAAAATACTTTAAAAGTACACTAAAAGTAGATGTATTCTTTCAACACCATACTTAAGTGGAAGTACGGAAGTACTCAATTTTTTTGTACTTAAGTATTGCAAGTAGAAGTATTTCAAAAATTGCTACTAAAGTATTGAAAGTACAAGTATAAGTAAAAGTACAAGTACTGTGTATATTAAAAAAAAGGCAGTCAAAAGTGTGATAGATATTGTTTATATTATTTCAAATGTGTGAAAGACATACTACCTGGCTGAAGCAGCAGTAAAACTACAAATACAGGTGTTTACAAAAAACCGAAAAACTACATCTGCATTAGCAATCAAAAGCACTTCATCTACTATTATTTATTATTCCAGTCAGAATCCTGAGATTACCTTTTATGCTAGCATGTAGCATACAGCTAGCCAGCTAGGTTAGCTTTAGCTAACGTTAGCATACAGCTAGCTTGCTAGGTTAGCTTTAGCTAACGTTATCATACAGCTAGCCAGCTAGGTTAGCTTTAGCTAACGTTATCATACAGCTAGCCAGCTAGGTTAGCTTTAGCTAACATTAGCTGCTACGTCCTGAGTGAAAAGCGAGAACTGAACTAGCGCTTATTTACTAGCTTATATGTCATTGTACTTTTTTTTATTTACCTTGATATGCTTCTTCAGATTAGATGGGGAATTTCTCAATATTTCGGGAGGCTTTTTTTTTTAATAGGCTATCGCCCAATGATGAGCCATCTTCACAAACCCTTGACAGAGCTATCTATCATTACGTTTACATATGAGTAACGAGTAACGATTCAGCCCGTGAAAAATAGTTCGGAGTAAAAGTATTATATTAATAAAAAATATGTAGTGGAGTAAAAGTAAAAGTAGGGGGGAAATATTTACTCCAATAAAGTACAGATACAGCATTTTGGTAATTAAGTACGGTACTTAAGTAGTTCTAATTCGTTACTGAACTTCTCTGCCTAGGAGGGAATGGCACAAAAGGCCAAATGGAATAGATTTAATTAATAAAGAGGCTTAAAAGTCTTGGATAGAAATGATGTGTGTGACTTACATAGTAGACACACCAGGAAGAAGCCTTTGGTTTGAGAATGAGGTTTTTCTTGCTTTTTAACATTGGTTTTGAAATAGGAAGGCTTCTTCGTGGTAAAATCGTGTTCTAGGGAGTTTAATGCAACCTAAATAGACAATTGTCATCTAGCCTGTGGAGCACAATGAAAATTATTTGACCAAGGATTGCTTTGGTGCTCAAACCTGTGCTGTAAACTGTCTTTGATTCAGCTTTTCAGCATAGAAAAGATTGCTTTGAAATAATTTGAGACCATTGGTTTTAAAGTTCAAAATGAACCCAATCAAATGATGATCCTGTCTTTATTAGCTTATTCTACCAGTCAATTTTTCAGAAAAATTGAAAAAATTGAGAATTTTTCAATGTCTTGGAGGAATTTGAAGGACTCTTCTCATTAGTTTTGCTGAAGCAGGCTTTACTAACTTCTAATTTCAAGGATTTATGGTTTTTTGGAGATATATTGTACTTAAAAAAACATTTAAACTTGAGAATCAGAAAAGCACTTCAAAACATTTCAAAGAGAAACGCATCTTTTCTCATTCAGTTTGTTTTAAAAAAGTTTTGCAGTGTTTGGAGATGACCTTTTAAAGGCCATTTTTTAAGACGCTGCCTGACCTGATGCAGCAAAACAAATGTTTTTTTCTAAAAGTGATTTGAAAACACTTATATCAGAGTCTTGTTGGCTTCAGAGAAACTTTGGCTAATGAAGGCCATCTCTCTTTGTCACCCTCCCTGCCCCCTCTCTCCACCGTACCTTTCCTCACCTCTACCTTCTCTTCCCCCCTGCAGATCATCAGTAACATGGAAGCCCCGGTGACAAATGGCCCCAGCGGAGGAGGCAACACGGCCAACGGCCCCACCACCAACAACCGCGGCTGCCCCTCGCCCATGCAGACCGGCCCCACGAACGACGACAGCAAGACAAACCTCATCGTGAACTACCTGCCTCAGAACATGACCCAGGAGGAGTTCCGCAGCCTGTTCGGCAGCATCGGCGAGATCGAGTCCTGCAAACTGGTTCGGGATAAAATCACAGGTATGATGGGGAGACTGGAGGCCTTCTGTAGTGAGGGAAACATCTGTAATGGCCGCCTCTTTATCTTATTTTATGGCTCGCTGTGAATGTCAGGCAAACAACACTCCTCGGAAATCCTAAACACAAAGTTATTTTCCTGTTTTTGTGCATGACACAAAATATATTAGGATATTAGTAACATTTAACTATACGTTAAGCTTAACTTTTTGAGTCTACTTACTGAAAATGTGGTCTTATGTAGATGGTTAATGTGATCAACGACGGGGCCACTCCAGCTATAAAACAGTGTTTAAGCAACAGCTATGTGGTGCAGAATGTAATGACTTTTTATTTGTAATGTTAATTCATTGTTGGTAAGTTAAAGACTGTTACACACTCACAGCTGCTGCCAGTTCCAGCCTGGGCACACACAGCACAATTAAAAAAAAAATTATGACTCTGCATCGATGGCAATCTTCTCCTGCCTGACAGGAGGAGAGTTTATGTGACCGCGTCCTGCCAACTATTGTTTACGGGGCTCATAACTGTGAATGTACAGAGCCTCGATTATATAGAGCCGCTGAATTAAACGAATGTCCAAAATGCATCAGCATCTGGCTACCTATGCCCTTTGGTGAGTTCTAAACTAACAAATGAATTTGGACCATTAGAACACAGCCTGGAGAGCACTTTGTATTTCTTTGCTAATCAGGCTTTCCAGAGGCAAAAAAGAGCAAAGAAGTTAAGGCACCATATCATCTTAGATTAATCCAGCTCATGTTGAAGGATTTTATTTGCAAAACTTTCATTGTTTCACCCTTTTCAGAGGCACATTTTTTACATTACTGTATATGTGCTGGTAGAAGAGAGAAAACTGTTACATGGTGCAATTTAATTATTTTTATAACTAAGGTTTGTTGTCTATGACGGGATACTTTAGATATCTTGCTCTTGAAATTTGAAATTTAGGTGAACTTGTATCTTGATGTGGAAAAAAAAACAACATCATACTCAGAGCTGGATAAAAAGTAGGGAGCGTGGTGGCATGTGCCCAGGTTTCAGAAGTCTGTCAACTACCTGTGAGGCCTCACAGGAGTGATGTGACAGAAATGTATTTATACATTTAAAACCTTCTGTAATTAATGTACACAGATGAGGATTAAGGTTAACAGTACATTCAACTCACATGCTTAATATTTTAATATCTTAAGATCTGTGTGCTTTCAGAATGGAGTAATCAGTAACTAAGATGCTGATTTTAAGAGATAATGCAAAATACAAGGCCATGCATAGCCAGATCTGTCTGCGTTAAATGCAATTTTTCGGCTTTTTGACTAAAGCATTCAGGAGAATGTAGAGCCCAAAGTGATGCAGAAGATCAAATAAATTAAAACTTAATGTTTGTATTCAACAAAATGAAGAAATTCATGTTCATTTCCGACTTTTTTGCAATAACCTACATAACGTTATAGAGTGTTTTGAAATGTTGTACCATGGCCAGCACAGCCATCTGAACAGATGCAAGCACACTTCTGCATTTGCTGAATTCACTTATTTGATCATTTTTGCATATTGATGAACACATATTAGCCAACTGAAATAAATATCAACAATAAATCAGTCAGTGAAAAGTTAAAGAAAAAGCAAAGAAAAAGTAGAAGTTTAGGGTGATACTTTAAAGTACTTTATTCATCCTCCAGTGGAGGATGTTCAGAAATTATTTATCTTTGTCAAAATGATGCTTTGAAGCAGAACATGACGCACTGGAGGACAGAGTTGTTGAACGCCTCTCTACTTGCGCCATCACCAGAACAAAGGAAGTACTAACATTGCAGTGCTCTGCTTTAGTTTTCTGCTCTGAAAAGTCATCTGTTACATCCTTTATATTCAGCCGGCGTGCTGTGCTCCTCCTCCGTTTAAAGAAAGCTGCTATATTATGCTGCTTTCTGACAATTTCGGTGCACTTTGCTTTAGGAATGTTTCTGTTTGAGTCTAGAAATGTCAGTAAGCACACGTTGTGTAATTCTCTTAGTTGCACTTGAGTTAGTTGCACTGATGGGATTTTCTTTCTAAGACTGCTGCGACATGTTCGCTTTCCACCACAATGTTGCTCAACACAATCAGAGCCAGCTTCACTGAGTCACTGAGAATCTGATTGGTTCAATTCGGAATTCTCTAAAAATGTGCAGACCACACCCAAGCACGCTCATTTAAACTCAATCGTGCGCAGCATTTGACAGTTTCATTGGCATATGGATTCTTTCTAAGATGGAAAATAAAAGCAGGCAGTTTTAAAGGGAAGTGCTTCCTTTTCCCGACTGCAAATGCTCAGTTTCCTATTTCATTTCTCAAGTTTCAATTAATTTTGTATAGCAATTTATCATATTTGTTTTTAATGTCAAACACTAGAGCTAAGGAAGTAATTGTAAAAAAAAAACAGGCGTGTTGAGTCATTGTTTATTCAGCACCTCAGATCCCACATTGCCAGATCAAAGATGGGTGGAGAGCAGCTTTGGTGTCATACGCTGCTCCCTTAATTTGTACACGCACACGTAAGGATTTGAGATGACACAGATCAGACTTTTACAAAAGCTTTACAGTTCATTGTCATTCCAGGCCGTCCCGCTCTTGTGAGGATCTGCCTTACGCGGGCGGTATCATGGTGGAGAGGCTCGTCTGTGGCCTCTGTGTGTGTGTTCCAGCGCCACATGTTCTCCAGAGGTGTTTAAACGGAGCAGCACTCTGCGCCGCTAATCACGTCTGTAATCTGGGCGGAGTGGCTGCGTGGGTGGCCGTGCAGCAGATGGATTGTGCGTGGTGGGGTGGGGTGGGGGGATAGGGGGGGTACAGCTCTGTGATAATGCTCCATAATGGCTTTCATTTTAGATCCTACTTACTGACACTCTTCTCCTGATAATCTCATTAAAGAGCAGCGTGCAGGCAGGCGGTCGAGATGGCCAAGCCGGCGTGGGACAGGCGAGCTTAGGGGAGTGTGTAAACACACGCGTACACACAAACGCACGGAAGCACGGGAATCAAATTAGTTTTCTCCTGCACCTGAAGGCCCACCGAAATGACCATGTGACAGTTAACCAGTCGATGGCTGCTGGTCCGGCCTGAGCTACTCCATAGCCCTCCATAGTCCCCCCATGGTATGTTTATGTTGCTCCATGATTCCTCTTCTGGATCATCTTCTTCTTCGGCTGAAATGGGCCTAAAAATGGAGCCAGGGGCCGAGATATACCAGGATAATGGAGGATGGCGTGTACAAAAATAACGCTGCTACAGCACATGCTGTGATCATCACCTTGCTCTCACTTCACCTGATTTTGCCATTAAGTGTGATTTACCAGGCAACAGCAGACAGGAATCAAGACAGCAAGAGATATCTGTGGAGAGTTTTAAAACCAACAGAGTCACTCTAAACATGCTCAGGCCCGTAAATGAGCGTCAGAAGTGGTAGAAGTCTTTGAATGCTGCCGTTCAGGATACTCTCCCCACGACAGGGCCTGTCTGATGACTTACCGTAAGCACAACGTTCTAAATATAACCTGCCTTCTCCCGCGTTCCCCCGCGGTATCTGCCTCTTTTGCTCTCCCATGGGTGCAATTTTCCTGAGCAAACTTTTAGGCTAACAAAGCATGGATTCCTTCCAGCAGGGAATGCCAAGAGGCTTCATGCTCTCTAACAGTCATCCAAATAATTAACTGACTAAGCCAGGTCTGTAAGCGGGAGGGAGGAAAAAGAGGAGACATCACTTTTTCAAGCTGATAAGTACACTTTATATTCTACTTCACCTTTAGTTCTGTATTTTCTAATATTTGTAAGGAAGATAATCTTTATGTGAAGACATGTAGAGATTTTAGTGAATATTTCACAGGATTTATGGAGGAGAGCAAGTTTTGCTTTGTTGAAATTTCAAAAAGTTAAGGAACTCTATAGTTAGATTTTATGCACACAGCTGGGAATGATGAGCCTTTTCTTTCTCATTCTCCTATTCTATAAGAAAAAGTGATTACAAGGATGTAAACTCATTTAGAAAACATATTCATAAATGCCCTTGGATTATATATTCAACATCTAATCTTTAAAAGATTTAGATATTCTTCAGATAGATTCACGGCTCGGTTTTAAAAACAATCAGCGGCGGTATATAAAGTGCAAACAAATGCCCTTGAAGCAAACATCCATAAGCGTTTGTTTGCTCGCGTCTCTCGTTCCCACCAGTGTTTCCGTCTTCAATAACATGCTGACAAGGTGTGAGCACTTAAACCTCTCAGAGGTACGCGAGACGGACAGGTCCTCAGCATCCCAGAAGCTTCCTGTGGACCTGCTCCTGTCAGCTCCAATGACGGCAGGATGGCGTGAGGCTCAGGCACGGACACTTTAGCTCTATCTGTCACCTCAGCTGACTTCAGCCGGTGGAAAAGCCACCTCCAGTCGTCTTTCCTGCTCCCCACACGCCCGCCCGCCTGCCTGCCTGCCTTCTTGCTCGTTTGCACCCCCACATCTGCCCGGTGCTCTCTTAAAACACCAGAGACGTGCATCTATTATTCAAAGCTGACTTACACGCACATTGCTGCAACACACACATACACATACACACAAGTCCTTGGCTTCCACCTGTTCATTTCTCCTCTTCCCATATAGATTGGGAAAATGGCTTTCGTATTGACGTGCTTTTTCTTTTCTTAGGTGTGTGTACTGTAGCAGCTATCAAATCTCTCCTCTTAACGTTACATTTTGAAAAGCTTACGTCACAACCACAAGGTTGTTGTGCGCTATAAATATTACCACTTACATCACCCTGCTGTTCTTCTTTTTTCCTGTCTTTCTTGAAATGGAAGAAAAAGTCAACTTAAGGGAAAAATGCGAGTCTGAGATCTCAGTTTGTCTTATTTAGACATCAGTAAAATCGCACAGGGCTTTTCTAAGAGCCAGGAAAAATCTATGAGGGGCCTCACAATATTCCGAATCAGCACTCCCAAACGTCTATATATGCACATGCAAACAGAAATGG